CGTCCTCAGAAACTGAGGAAATCCCTGAGATTGGCATCGTGATGAGGCGATGCCCAACATAGGGATAGGAATCTGCTCCAGGCTGGTGATATGTTGCAGAAATGTGTGGTTTGTATGTTCGGGGCGCTCGAGTTTGAGATCCTTGCGAAGGCATCGATTGTGGACGGGCTCCCGGTGCGCGCGCCGCGGGGGGTGGGGTGGCAGATCCCAACCTCTGCTGAGAAAGGAGAAGCATTGCCAGCCTGGAACATATCCCCATCCCTAAGCTGGGCATCGCCCCCATCACGATGCCAATCTCAGGGATTCCCTTAGTTTTTCAGGGCGCATCCCTAAGATTGGTATCGCCTTAGGGCGCATCCCTTAGTTTTTCAGGGCGCATCCTTTAGTTGTTCAGGGCGCAGTCCTAGGCATCCCTAAGATAAGTTCGAGGCTGGTGAAATCATTGTTGTGAACTCTATGGGGTCCAGTACACGTTACGCGGCCTGTGTGCTACAAATCCGACGCTGTGCAGTCTGCGTGTTGCCATCTCTGTTGTTCCGTTTGTGTGGTGGATTCGATGTGGAGGAGTCAAGCTGGCGCAAGCTGTGCTGTGAAATCTGTGTGGTGCGATCTATGTGGTGGAATCGATGTTGTGCACCCTACGTGGTACAGTATATGCTGTGCAGTACATGCGGTGCAATCGGTGCGGCGTAATACTTGTGCAAACTATGTGGAGCAGTCTGAGTGCTGTGCAATGTACGTGGTGCAATCTATGCGGTGCGATCTATGTTGTGCATACTGTGTGGTGCGGTCTGCGTGTTGCAATGCGTGTGGTGCAATATATGTTGCGCATTCTACGTGGTACAATGTATGCTGTGAAATTTATGTTGTTCGACCTATGTTGTGCAAATTAAGTGGTGCAATATATGCTGTGCAATCCACGTGGTGCAAGATATGCGGTGCGATCTATGTTGTGAAAGCTGTGTGGTGCGGCCTACGTGTTGCAGTAAGTGTGGTGCAATCTATGTTGTGCACTCTGCGTGGCACAATGTACGTAGTGCAATCTAGGTGGTTCAACATATGTTGTGCGCTCGTGGTGCAATATATCTTGCGCAGCCCGTGTGGTGCCATCGACGCGGTGCAAGCAATGCTGTGCAAGCTATGTGGTGCAATCTAGGTGGTGCAATTTTTGTGGCGCAATCTACTCGGTGAAATCTGTGCTGCGCAATCTTGGGCGGCGACGAGGCGGCGACGGGGCGGCCACGTAGCCGCCAGACCGCCACGACGGCCCACACGACGAGCGGCGACGAAGCGGCGACGGGGGCCACGCAGCCGCCAGACCGCCGCACCGGCCCCGACGACGGGCGGCCACGAGGCGACGACGGGTCGGGGACGGCGGCCACAGAGCCGCCAGATCGCCACGGCCGCCCTGTTCCTGAGAGGGACAAAAACTCCTCCTCCTCCTCCTCCTCGTTCTCCTCCTCCTCCTCCTCCTCCTCCTCCTCCTCCTCCTCCTCCTCCCCCTCCTCCTCCTCCCCCTTCTCCCCCTCCTCCTCCTCCTCCTCCTCCTCCTCCTCCTCCTCCTCCTCCTCCTCCTCCTCCTCCTCGAGGGACAAAAAGAACCCTCAAATGCAAGAACTGTTGAGACTATATACACCAACCCTCGATATCCGCCTGCCGCTCTTGGGGGCAGATCTTCCTTGCCTGCCGCGTGTTCTTCGAGCAGCCCCTGAAACAGGGGAAGGGGAGGAGGAGGGAGGGGACAACGGGGAGGGGGAAGCATGGAGCACGAGAGAGATTAACAGGAGGAGGGTTTGCGAGCACGAAAACAAGCAGCAGAACCAGACGGGCGGGTCGGGCGGGAGGACCCAAAAAGCGAGGGGTCGAGCGGGCGGGTTTCTGAAGCGTCAGTCTTGCATGATTCGCGAAGAAGTCTCTAGCGATAGTCGGATTCCCAAGTAATCCGTGAGGAAGTTCACAGCGAAAGCGTGAATCCTGAGTGCTGGGGGCGCGGTGTCTGAAAACATCGCGAAGAAGTGCCACTCAAGAGCGCGATTCCTGTATAATGCGTGAGGATGCGTCAGGCGGGAAATCGTTGTTGTGCTAGTTCGGGGGTTCATAACACAGTCTGAGCCTCTAGACTTTTCTTTGTACTTCCTTCAGAAGCGAGAATGTGATAATTACTTTGAAAACTGTTCGCTCTGATTGGCACATGCGTCAGTACACATGTATCTCCCAAACCGTCGATACTCGCCCACGTCGTCTTTGACTGAGCCCCCTTGGGGAGGATATCTTCCCCCCTGCCCAAAATTAAAACACAATCAAGAGAACAAAAAAACAAGGGAGGAAGGGAATGGAGTAGAAGAGGGAGGAGGGAATGAGGCAAAACGGAATAAGAGATTGAGGACGAGAGGGAGTAGCAAGGCAAGAGGGATTAGCAAGAGGAGGGGGCAAGGAAGTCTTAGGCACGACCGCGGTCCCTACGAAAAGGAAAAGGACGTCCCGATCGAGAGCCCGATTCCAGAGCGCCGAGAGAGCGAGTCGTGCGTAGAGTGAAAGGAAATCTCAGGCGAGGGCGCGGTTCCTGGCCAAACTTGTATAGAGGTCTTGAGCGGGAGCGCGATGTCAATACGCAGTGAGGTAGTATCCGGCGGGAGCCGTTCTTGTTGGTAGTCCAGGGGCCAGGAGCCCAAACTGAGGCTCAAGACTTCCCCTTGCAAACGCACACAGAAACGTCAGGGGGACCAACAATGATCATGCGTTTAAAACGAAAATTCAGCAACCATCTTGACATACTGCTCGAGCGTTCTTATTGCGGTGTGCATTCATCATGGTCGCTCTCCCTTTCGTAGGGGACTTCTTCCACGCATCGGGAGCTATACATTTCCTTACGCCCAAATGTCTGGCCCGAAAATGGTTTGCCAACAGCTCTGGCGAGGCAGTCGACCACGGTCAGTTCCAATCTTTGGGGCCCATTTTTGGGCCGCCGTCCTGGGGCTCCCTTGGGCGCCCATCCGAGGTCCGCGGGCCTCGTGGGGCGCCCATTGGAAGACTACTGGCCTCTCTTCGGGAACCTCGTGGCAGGGATCGACCTCAACAATATCTACCGTTTTCCTTTGGTTTTGGTTTTCCCTCGTTCGGTCTTCAATCACCCCTGCTGCAAAAAGAACTCGAAACGAAAACGACCCAAGAAATCGCCAGAACACCGTTTTCCGGAGCCCTCGTGGGGCCGCCCGGGAGCCCTCCAGAGGCGAAGCCGAAACAAGAGCTCCAATCCTGAGCAAAAGGCGCGAGAAATATCGAGCGGGAGCGTCGGTGTCTCAGGGGAGCCGGTTTGCGGCGGCAAGTCGCGATTGCCATCCCTGAGTAAAGAGCGAATGACTAACAAGCGGGAGCGCTGATCTTGTTTTTGGGGGCAGTTTTCGGCGGCGAGATAAAGCGCCACCCTCTTCTCAAAAAGCGAAGTGAGATCGAATGGGAGCGTCGTTGTCGTAGGGGGGGCCGGCTTGCGAACCACAACGCGACTGCAACTCCTGAGAAAACAATTCGAACTTATAGAGCTGGAGCGCTTGTTCTGTAGGAGGCCCGGATTTGGGCGGAGAGCAAGACCACCAGTCTCGAGTAAAAAGCGGAAATAGATTGAGCGGGAGAATCGTTGCTGTAGGGGGCCTGATTTCAAGCAGAGACCGACCGTCCCGACATTCTTATAGGCCTACCACGTAATATTCTTAGAACCCACAAATGTTTCAATAACAGAAACAACGATGCTTAGAACAGAAAGTCCGCTGTGCTAAAACAAGAAAGTCTTGGCCAGAAATATTCTATGAACATTTTGTGCAGACCACAAGAGGTTCTCAGAGCATTATTTGGTGGGCCGATCGGCAAGCCAGGACACTTCGCCACTGCTCGATGTTTGCGGATCCAAAGCGGGAGCGCCACTCCTGAGTCAGAAGCGAGGAAATGTCAAGGCGGGACCGCAGGCTTTGTTGGAGAAGCCATTGTCGGCGGCGTGAAGAGGCACCGGCCCTGAATAAAACAGCAAGAAGGCATGGAGCGGGAGCGGGAGCGGTGTTGTTGTTGCAATTGGTGTTGTTGTTGTCGTCGTCTGTGTTGTCGTTGCCGTTGTCGTTGTTAAGTTGACGTTGTCGCTGTCGTTGTCGTTATCGTTGTTGCTGTTTTGCTGTTGTTGTTGTTGTTGTTGTGGGTGTTGTTGGACTGCCACTCCGAAACTCTCGAGCGTGAGCCTCGCTTCCACAAACAAATGCAGCCCGTCGCCGAGGCGAGAGCGCCAGTGCGGATCGAGGGGGCACCACACCAATGCATGCCCTTAATGATACCAAAGAAAAAACACAATCATAATCTTATTAGGGCTATCGGGCTATGGGGCTATAGCGCTATAGGGCTATAGGGCTGTAAGGTTCTGGGGCTACAGGGCTATAGGGCTATAGGGCTATAGGGCTATGTGGCTATAGGGCTATAGGGCTGTGGGGCTATGAGGCTATAGGGCTATAGGGCTATAGGGCTATAGGGCTATAGGGCTATGGAGCTATAGGGCTCTAGGGCTGTGGGGCTATGAGGCTATAGGGCTATAGGGCTATAGGGCTATAGGGCTATAGGGCTATAGGGCTATGGAGCTATAAAGCTACTGGGCACCCGGACACCTGGGCACCCGGGCGTGCCGCCGAAATCGGCATCAAGGGCTAGGGCTATAGGGGGCTATAGGGGGCTATAAGGCTAGAGGGCTACCGGGCACCCGGGCACCGGGGCGTGCCGCCGAAATCGGCGCCACAGCTAGCCTAACCATACGAATCCGCTGGGACCCCTACAGAGGCAAGCTCTGACTGGGGCATGACTCCGCTAGAGCCCCTACGGAGGCAAGCTCTGAGTGGGGAACACCTCCGGTTCCACAGCGACGCTCAGTCCACACCGCGGGACCCCGCCAACAACCACGCCACCAAGGTTTTTGCAAGACCGCTCGGCCCCCCCCCCCTCGCTCTGACTTCGGGGGGGCTGCTGGTCGCCGACGGGCGGCCGGCCGAGGGGGTCGGGGGAGAGGCTCCGGGGCTCCTGGCGCCCGCCAGTGCCACAGGTGGCCGAGCACGTGCTCCACTCCGACCACTGCGAGACGCGGCACGGGACGGAGCCCAGCTCGCAGGGCTGCTGGTTGCAGGACGTCGTCTCCTGCCCGAGGGGGGTCTCGCGAAGATCCCCCCCCGCGTCGTGGAGGCTCTTCGCGGGCTTGCGCCCGCGGAGGCCCTCGCCAGGCCCCCAGGACCATGGCAGAACTGCTCGAGATACAGAAACGGGTCCGCGCGAAGGGGTCCAGACCTCTGGGGGTGCACGTCAAGAGAAAATCACGACGTCGGGGGGCCTGGGAAGATCTCACAACGCCGCCCGACCCCCTCCCCACCCTGTCGGCGGCTGTCAGACCGTGGCCCTGGCCCCGGGTGTTCCCAGCTCTTCGCGCTGGTTCTGAGGCCCTCTACAGTTGAGGCCAGTCCACAAGAAACCTTCCACAAGAAACCCAACCCTGAGACCCCAGGACGTCCGTCGATTCTCGGTGTGGGAACGTCGCGCTTCCCACAGCAGAACAGGGCAGGGCACCCTGGAGGCCTGGGGCACCCTGGTTGTAAGCAGGGCGTGCTTCCTGGCGTTGGTCTCCACTGCATGGCGCTCTGGGACTCGCGAGGGGTGCTCTGGAGGCCGCCTGGGCGTCCCCAGGCCGACGGACTCAAGGGAGAGGAGGAAGAGGAGGAGGAGGAGGAGGAGGAGGAGGAGGAGGGGAGGAGAAAGGGGAGGATGAGGAGGAGGAGGAGGAGGAGGAGGAGGACGAGGACGAGGAGAGGGGGGAGGAGGAGGAGGAGGACGAGGAGAGGGAGGAGGAGGAGGAGGAGGAGGACGAGGAGAGGGAGGAGGAGGAGGAGGAGGAAGAGGAGAAGTCTGCGAGGACTTCTTGGCTCGGCGCTGGGCCCTCCCCCCTGGCGCTCGGCACGCGACGGGGGGGCGGCGCCAGAGGCGCCGCGGGGCCCGGGGCGGACCCGCGCGGCCCTTCGAAAACGTGTGCTTTCTGCGCGGGTGTGCTGCACGATCGACACGGGTGTGGGAGAAAAAAGCGCGATGCCCAACAGCAAGCGTTGACGAAAACCGACAGCGGCCGCTGTTGCGCAGGGGGCCTCGTGCCTCAAGTGGACAGCGTCAGCGGCGATACCAACAACGAATCCTGCGCAACATGGGCTGCACATGCCGCTGGCCTTTACCCCGGTCGTTCCGTGCCGCTTGTCGATCGTACAGGGAACCCACCAGCCCTTTAGGGCGAGAGTGGTTTGGCGAGTTTCCTTTTCCAAGCCCCCTTCTTCCTCTTCGGGGAGAGGTGTATCACTGATCCCTGTCAATAAACACCCCCTCCCCCAGGCAACCAGCAGCCAAGCAGAAACAATGGCAATACCTCCCACGATCCCTGTCCAACAGGATGAACTCACGAATTCATGAAAGGAATTTAGACAAGCGAGGCGTGACTATGTGTTCGAGACACCTGATTGGGCGCGACAAGCAATTGCAATGCTGAAGGTATCGATTGTGATGTACCGTTCCAAGGATTGTGCTGTGCCGTGGCGTGCGGAGAGGTGATGTGCTATGCCGCGATGAATTGCGGTGCGCCGTCTAGCGCTGTGGATCAGATCGCCCTTGGCACCCGGATCTTGCCAGACCGAACGGATCTAGAGACTGAGCTCGCGCTGCCCGAGCGCAGAGCTGGCCCAGAGCTGGCTGCAGTCGAAACTCGTGGGGCGCTCCATCCGCTCGAGCGCAGGGTCCAACTCGGCTCCGAGGCGGGACGAGACTGCATGCACGGGGCGCACGGCGCACGGGCGCGCCACGGAACGTGCCAGGGGGGCGCCCTGTAGGGAATGCGTCAGGGAACGCGTCAAGGGGACGCGGCAAGGGGCGCGCCACACGGCACGGGCAGGAAGAGCGCCAGGGGGCGAGCCAGGGAACGCGACACGGGACAGGCCAGGGGACGCGCCGAGGGGGGATGGGGGCACACGCCGTCCCGCGGTCCCGCTGTGGGGCGTTGGGAGCGCACAGGGTGTCACGCTTGTCCTGCCCAGGGGCGTTCGGACCCCACGTGTTTTCACGCGCGTCCCGCTCTGGGGCGTTCGGAACCATGTATTCTCACGCTTGTCCAGCCCTTGGGCGTGAGGAGCCCACATGGTTTCAGGCTTGTCCCGCTCTGTGGCGCCAGGAACCCACGTGTGTTTCACGCTTGCCCAACTCTGGGGCGTTAGGAACGCATGTGTTTTCACGCTTGTCCTGCTCGGGAGAGTTAGGAACTCATGTGGTTTCACGCTTGTCCCGCTCTGGCGCGTTAGGAACCCATGTGTTGTCACGCGTGTCCTGCGTGTGTGCGTTTTCGGCCGCTTCTGGGCGCCCAGAGAGGTTGCCCCTCCTCCTCCTCCTCCTCCTCCTCCTCCTCCTCCTCCTCCTCTCCTCCTCCTCCTCCTCCCCTCCCTCCTCCTCCTCCTCCTCCTCCTCCGCCTCCTCTTCCTCCTCCTCCTCCTCCTCCTCCTCCTCCTCCTCCTCCGCCTCCTCCTCCTCCTCCTCCTCCACCCACCAAGAGGTACCCTGCCGTCGTGCATCTTCCACGGCGCGCCGGGGGCGTCTGGGCATCGCACAGACCTCGTCGCCCCCCCCTCTCTGTTCCCGTCGGGGGGGATCTCCAGGAGCCCGCCCACGCAGGGCTTCCCCCTCTCCGCCGCGGGCTTCTCCACGAGCCGCTGCCGGATCGTCTGGCCGCCCCCGCAGGTCCTGGGGGAGCCAGGATCACCTCTATACCTCCGGGGGGGCCCACGCCCGTGTGGTGAGGGACCGCGTGGTGACCTCGGCATCTCCAAAATTTCGGTGGCAGCTTCGGCACGGGAGCCTCCCATACCATCTTGTCGGCTACTGCGAATCGACGCCAGTCCACGCCAAGTCGACGCTGACCGACGTGAAATTCACGCTGATCGGCGCTCACCGACGCTGAATCGGCGGTCTTTGATCGACTCCCAGACGCGAATCGACGCTAAAGGCGGACTTGAAAGGATACAGCTGGCTCCCATGATTTGCTACCGAATCCAACGACCTCACCGCGCGGTCCGTCACTGGACGGTCTTGGGACCTTGGAGGCACCAGTCGCCCGAGACAACTGCAGAGAACGACTCAAATCCAAAACCGTGCGGTGCGTCACCAACTGCACCGTTTGGGGCTCCTGAATACCGCTACTCCCCGGACCTCCTCTAGGGTGCGTCCTGAGCAGAACTTCGAAACCATCCAGACGTGGCGACGAGGGCCTCCCGGGAGGCACCGAGAAGGCGGAAAACGAGGCAATGGTAGATAGTCGTGGTAGAGGTGTCGGTACATATCTTTCCCCCCGAGGTCCGGTCGCACAGCTGCCACTCTGACCAGGCGGACAGCCTCGTGGGCGGAAAAAACCATGTCCGTGCCCACGGCCTCGCAGGCTGGGCCCCTGGACCGCGACTCGACACGCGGATGCGGGGCGTCTCCTCCGCGGACGCCCCGCGTCGAAGACCGCGCCCCGGAGTCCAGACCGCGAGGGCGCGGACACGAGTACCCAGGCATCTGCTGGCCATCGCTCGGACGTCCATTTCCTGTGTTTTCTTCGGTTTTTGTGCGTGGTTTTTTCTTCAAATGATCAAGGATGCTCCTCGATGGTCCTCGCCGAAGGGGAAACGCACACGTCCGAGCGATGCCAAGTCTGGTGTCTTGCGCTTCTCCACGCGGGGTCTCCAGCGGTCCGGGCCCCACCACGTGGACCCGCCTTCTTCGCCACCCCGAGCCGCGTCTCGAAGGTCCCAGGCGTCGCCCCCCAAGGGGGAGAAGAGGAGGACGAGGAGGAGGGGGAGGAGGAAGGAGGACCGCGAAGCGCGAAGCGCGAATAACTTCGCGCCCTCCTGGGAGCCCTTGTCGAAGGTCCCAGGCGTTCGGCGAGGGCCCCCCAGAGGCCGACAGCGGCGAAACGCGCCAGCGTGCACCGATCTCGGCCAGGCCCAGGATGGGCCTGGCCGAGATCGGTGCATGCGCCTCGCTCTCTCCGCCCGGGCGTCTGGGTCTTCGGCGGTGGACAGACCTCCCGTTCGTACACCTCCCCTCAGTGAAGCACGGCCCGGGGCCGAAACCGACGGGCCTGGACCCGCAACACATGACGGCCGCGACGCCCTCTCGCAAACCGAGAACGGCCAACTCCTTGATCGGCGTGTCGGGGTACTTTAGTAGTGGAAACAATTGGTTTTCAAAATGTTTGGTCTTTAGAAGCTCTGCGTGGCGACGCCCCCGTCGCCACGCGTGCCCTCTGCGTGCCTGAGGGGGCGCCGCCACGTAGAAGCACTGGAGACCGAGCATTTGGGGCGTCGCTGCGCACGCCCTCTGCGTCGCTGCGACCATTTGTTCAAACCCTAAAACCA